GTTCTATTTTTAGTCATGGCGGCCATCTTGAATGGTTGGCGAGCTGGGACACATTTTTTAAACTAGATACCTAATGATGATTGTGGCCAAGTTTGGTAAAATTTGGCCTAGTGGTTTCAGAGGAGAAGATTTTTGTAAAAAGCTAACGACGACGGACGCCAAGTGATGAGAAAAGCTCACTTGGCCCTTCGGGCTAGGTGACCTAAAAATGAAGTTGAGTTCATCTGAATTATCGATGAACATTCAGTCCATTTTTATTCAAGCTGTAAGCTAATCAAAATCAAAATTTCAAAAGCATCTTCCTAGAATTAGTATTCAAACACTAGTACTACATTGTATCTAGGAGTAGAACACACATCCTATAGTAAGATGGTCTATCCAACTTCCGGTTTGAGGTCAATGCCTTAGGAAAGTTTATTGCTATAGCAAGCTATAACAAACTTTCCAAAAACTAATAATTCAACTTGAATTTAAATAAAAATTGGGTGCGAACGTGTAGGGTGCGAACAGACCTAAGGGGCGAACGTGTGGGGTGCGAACGCAGGGGTTAAAAAATCCACTAGCCAGACCCCCGGGACTACAGTATTTACGCCACAGGCAATCAAAACTTTTAACCTAATATGCCCGACGGACTAGCAACAAAAAATTCTTGGAGTTTCCAAAATAGAAAGCGGAAAATCCCTTCATCACTATTCTATCTTCGCCAATCAGATTCAATTACGTCATCCTGGATTCCAAGAATTTCAATAACTCGAATGATTCAGCGCCCTCTATGAGTCAGTGTCCTCTCGAGAAAGCGATCGATAGTGAGTCGAGTATAACGACTGGATTAGTCGGGTTAGAATTTTAACTGATTCTGTACATGTTTTAAAAATAATACAACTAACTCTTGGTGGACATTGCTTATTTCGAGATTTACAATTAACGGTACTGGGGGCGGTATGATGCATTGATCGATGTTGACCTGTCTTGTCGGACAGCTGTTGAGCACGAAACAATGCAACAAAATATTTCTAAATATTTTAGTACGGGCACCCCAGGAACTTCGTCAGTTTCAAGACGAAAAACGGTAGATGAAGAGGGTAATGAGGCTGAAAATTCATCCCAAAAAAAATGCCAAATACGCCCTGGAAAAGCAGTAAAGAACATTTAAAGTGTCATGAACAGAAAGATTCCCTTGGTCAAGGTCGTCTGTTGCTGATGATAAACCAGAGACGATGTTTTGTAAATATTGCCGTTATTTTTCCGATCACGCTAATAAAGTCTGCTTTGTATGTGGGAACAACAAATATATCTGAATTGAACCACTGGTTTCACATGACAGTACCAATGAACATGTTTTCTGTGGCCGAAAATATTGAACAACCCATAGTACAACAGAAATCCAAAGAGATGTCTAAAGATCCTTGTCATAATTAATAAAACAAACATATATTTGATTTATTTTATTAAATACCGTGTATAATGCCGCTTTCAAAACAAGGGACACCCACTTTGTATTATGCAGCAAACTCTGAATTTGTAAGGTATACTCAGGCTAGCAGGTAGTTTTGATGGGATAGCAGCTCTTTCAACAGGGCTAGTAAAATCCGGCTACCAATAAGTCCTGGGCTAGTGAGCTGTAACAAAATTTTTTAACCCCTGGAACGTGTAGGGTGCGAAAGTGTATTGGGCGCTAACGGACCTGATACCTGGTGGCCTTGGGTTGACTTGTATATTTTGGTTGGGTTGTCTCTTTGACACATTCCCCATTTCCATTCTTTATTCTATATATGTAGCTGTCAAATATACTTTTGTAAAAGAGACAAAAGACCAAGTTTTGGAATATGTAACTTCTCCTGAAAAAACGGGTTAATCATACAAAAAATACCAGGACCCTTCCTCATGCAGTGTATAACTAAGTTCAGGTACATGTATGCTTTGATTATTAAATGCAAAGTAAACCGGAAAGTTCTGTTTAAAAAATCAGACGACATGAACATTTACATATACTACCGTTTATATAAATATAATTCTTAAGAAATAAGAGAAACATAATCTATTTGTAACTCGCAACTCGACCTTCGTAACTCGCAACTTGACCTTCATAACTCGGATGACGGACGCAACTCGACTTTCGTAACTCACAACTCGACTTTCGTAACTTACAACTCGACTTTGTAACTCGCAACTTGCAACTCGACAATAAGAACCCCTCTCCAGGAGGATAGTTGTCATGGTAGCAACTATAATCAAATCGAGCTGCTCGTCTCTGTACCTGCTCTATGTCACGTATGATGGTAATTTGGTGAGGATCCCATACTGGGGAAGCATATTGCAGAGTTGGTCTTACTAACGTGGAGTAAGCTGTGGCTTTTGTTGCTGGAGTACACCTACCCAGGGTTGTCAATGATATTATATTTCACTGGACCACCTGGGACCAACATTTCAACTTGGCACGTTTTATTTTAACATACTTCTTTGTGTATTCACAACATATTGTATATGCATCTTTGAGTATAATCGACAAAAACCGTCTATTTTTACCCTTTCCTTTCACAATCGTAACAGGAAACATACTTTGACAGGCGGCGGGAAACTATCTATATACGCATAATATACAACTCGTTTCAAGACTTGTTTCCGGAATTTTTTATGATAAAATTATAATTCAGACAGCTGGGACTAGCAGACAGGTTCCAGTCGTACCGGTTGATCCAGAGATACGTAGAGGACGTACGCTGCACTTTGATCTTCAAAAAGTTTCTCATTGTTTCTCACGATTTAAATGATTTTTTTAACAAAAAATCGTTAAAAAAAGTTCCGCTCTAATACACCTTATCGCTTTTTGTCCGTCATTACTGGACATCATATTCCCGTAAAAATTTTGACGTGACAATAGAAAATGTCTAGCGCCACAAAGGTAACGTGATTGTTGTCTGACGTCAACAGTTCAAGTCAGTGGCAGATCCGGGGGGGGGGGGGGGTTTCCGGCCCGGGGGTTGGAATCTCCCTTTTTTTTGACGATCAATGCATTTGATTTGAATGGGGATATATATTTTCCTTTTACAATTCGTAATGGGACTTTCCGTTGAATATATGAAAAGCCGGGGTGATTATACCTTGTCAAAGACCCCCTAAGAAAAATTTCAGGCACATTTCAATCTCTCACATGCCTTGTTTTAAACCCCTCAAATGCCAAATTGTGCCAGCAATTCCTCAACTTTACATATTAAGACAACAAAAAACCATCAGAAACTAAAATGGGCACACTTCAGAGGTATATTATTAGCCAATCGGGGCTAAGAAATGACTCAGTTTGATATCCCTCAGAAAAATACATCCACCCCTTTAAAGATATAAAATGATTCTGAATTGTCCAATGTACTAGTACTAAATATGATCATGTGAACAGTTTTCTTGAAAGAAAACGAAAAATGTTGCATACCAAAAAATGACTTGCTTTGCAGTATGAAGATCACATAGACAAAATGAAGAAAAAAATCTGACATTTGGTTGTCAATCGGCAATACTTAAACATACAAATAAATTATCAGTGACCGCTGTCGATAATAAACTAGCAATTGATTGTTAATCGTAAAAAAAAAATGTTGTTTGTAGTAAATTTATTGAAGTATTACACAGAAAAACACAAAAAATAATTAAAATTAAAAGAAAACAAAAAATAACGGATTTTGAAATAAAGGGGAGGGCAAAAAAATGTCCTGTCTATAAGTTCAATGACACTCCGGAAGGCGCCTGCTACTATGTCATGTCAATGTTGTTTACTTTTTCAATAATGTTTAATAAACAATGTTTAACTATACCTCAGAAAAAGACGAATGATTTGTGTCGAACGTTTTATTTGTTGTTTTAGTGTAGGTGTTGTCATGCAGAGAAAATAAATCAATAAAAGAGAGGAGAAAGATACCAGAGGGACATTCAAACTCATAAGTTGAAAACAAACTGACAACGCCATGCATGGCTAAAAAAGAAAAAGACCAACAGACAAATAATAGTACACAAAACACGACATAGAAAACTAAAGACAACACGAACCCCACAAAAAACTGGGGGTGATCTCGGGAGCCCCGGAAGGGTAAGCAGATCCTGCTCCACATGTGTCACCCGTCGTGTTGCTCATGTTAGTACAAATCAGGTAATAAGTCTAATTCGGTAGGTCACATTCAGGAAAATAATTTATGTCTAGGCCACATGACTGGATCATTCAAATGGTATAACCAATGGTACATTTGCGTGTACAATGAATAAGGAAGTTATGTTTAATTCTTTGTTAGATGGACCTTTAAATAGATTTACCTTTGTTAGCTGTCCATTGAAAGAGCACTGATAGCTATGACAAATCATTTACGGGGCGATAAACAAAGACGATTGAAAAACCTGTAAGACTTGTTTATAAGTTTATTTTAAACTTGTAAATATGTGCATCTTACAAGGCTTAGCAAGTTTGTATTATGAAGTCCAGCTTTTCTATTTGGTTTACTATGAATTGAATTAAAAAAATTGGTAATATAGTAACTTGAAAAGTTGTCTTCTTATATTTCAGAATGAGGTCCTCAAAGGGGGCATATATACGTGAAACATATGATATCTTTCACCAGTGGCAGATCCAAGACTTTCATAAAGGGAGGAAGATACGGAGGAGTATATTCAAAAAGTAGGCTGTCAAAAATTTACAAAAAAAAGAACTAAAAACATATTTTTCAACATAAGATGCATCCCTGATATGCCCCGCCCATGTTCACGAAAATCTACAATATTATTTTCTTCTGCTAAAGGTCATTTAATGTAACATACAAATATAGATTTTACGATACTACTGTCTGAATAATGAAAAGTAAAATAACAAAAATACCGAACTCCATGGAAAATTCAAATCGGAAAGTCCCTAATCACTGAATGGCAAAATCAAAAGCTCAAACCCATCAAACAAATGGAAAACAACTGTCATTTTATATATAGTATACATATATATATTTAACAGAACTAACTAAAATTACCTTTTTGGTTAAAAAGAATTTCCATTTTCGTTTCCTTTATAAACATTACCGATTGTCGACAAGTCATTTCTACATACGGGTATCTAGTATGTAATACAATACCAATCAATGCAATGCAATATATGTTTATTGAACCGATAACAAAAGATCAACTTTAATAGAGTTTTGTACGAAAAAGTATTAGCGCCATGCAAATTTTTTTGTGTTTCTTCCTATGTTAGCGTTATAACGTGAACCTTTGCGAAATAACACAAACATTTGAGTCATCTTATTTCTTATTTAAATTTCAAGGGAAGGAGTTGTTAAGAATGGAGGGAGCAGTGGGAGGAAGCTGCATGCATTAATTTTTATCACTCTTTTTACTTATCTCAAAGTGAAAGGCTGGAGTGTTAAGCACATAATCATGGCATAATAATGAGAGAATAAAGAAAACTGAGTAAATCGAAGTTGTATCGAAAAAAAATTAAAAACCTATTATTCTCTAAGAAACCCATTTTTCTCTGTTCTTCATATTTTAGCAACCCATTATTCTCTATTCTTTATTTTTTTGGTCTGATTAGTATGGGTTCGTTGATCTTAGTAATATGGGCCCGTTTATCTGTGTAATATGGGTCCAATGATCTGATTAATAATGGTTTGATGATCTGAGTAGAATGGTTCCGAAAAACAGAGTATCCGATCAACAGAGTAGCATTGTTCCAATGATCTGAGTAGATTTCCGTTGAGATGAGTATATGCCCGTTGAGATGAGTAGTATGAGTCTGTTGATCTTAGTAGTATGTGTCCGTTTATCTAAGTAATATTGGTCCGTTGATATGTGTAGCATGGGTCCAATGATCTGAGTAGATGTCCTTTGAGATGAGAATATGCCCGTTAAGATGTGTAGTTATGGGTCCGTTGGTCTTAGTAGTTTGGGTCCATTGATATGAATAGTATGGGCATGTTGATCTGAGAGCTATAGGTAAAAAAAACTCTGAGTAGTATGGGTTAACCACTGAGTAGTATGGGTTCTTTGGTCTGAGAAGTATGGGTTAAAACACTGAGTAGTATGGGTTCTTTGGTCTCAGAAGTATAGGTTAAAACACTGAGTAGTATGGGTCCTTTGGTCTGTAAAGTATAGGTTTAAACACTGAGTAGTATGGGTCCTTTGGTCTGTGAAGTATAGGTTTAAACACTGAGTAGTATGGGTCCTTTGGTCTGAGAAGTATGGGTTAAAACACTGAGTAGTATGGGTCCTTTGGTCTGAGAAGTATAGGTTAAAACACTGAGTAGTATGGGTCCTTTGGCCTGTGAAGTATAGGTTTAAAACTGAGTAGTATGGGTCCTTTGGTCTGAGAAGTATAGGTTTAAACACTGAGTAGTATGGGTCCTTTGGTCTGAGAAGTATGGGTTAAAACACTGAGTAGTATGGGTCCTTTTGTCTGAGAAGTATGGGTAAAAACCCTGAGTAGTATGGGTCCTTTGGTCTGAGATGTATGGGTTAAAACCCTGAGTAGTATGGGTCCTTTAGTCTGAGAAGTATGGGTTAAAACCCTGAGTAGTATGGGTTCTTTGGTCTGAGAAGTATGGGTTAAAACACTGAGTAGTATGGGTCCTTTAGTCTGAGAAGTATGGGTTAAAACACTGAGTAGTATGGGTCCTTTGGTCTGTGAAGTATAGGTTAAAACCCTGAGTAGCATCATTAGTATGGGTTCTTTGGTCTGAGAAGTATGGGTTAAAATACTGAGTAGTATGGGTCCTTTGGTCTGAGAAGTATGGATTAAAACACTGAGTAGTATGGGTCCGTTGGTCTTAGTAGTATAGGTCCTTTGGTCTTAGTAGTTTGAGTACATTGATGTGATTAGTATGGGTCCGTTAAGCTGAGAAGCATGGATAAAAACCCAGAGTTATATAGGTCCGTCTATCTGAGAAGTATGGGTAAAAACCCAGAGTAGTGTGGGTCCGTTGGACTGAGAAGTATAGACAAAAAGCATGAGTAGTATGGGTCCGTTGATCGGGACTTATTGAAGAAACAGTTTAAGATCAGTTTCAATTTATGGTAATAAAAGTACAAATCAGACATATTGGCACTCATACCACATCTTCTTATATTTATATAATATTTCATATTGAAATACAAATATTACCTAATTATAAAGGTTTATATTATTAATTTGTATTTTTTGACTAATTTGATTCGTTCAAGAATAGTCACATGTTAAACTATATTTTCAAAAGTCGAATGAAAACGGCGGATAGAAAAGTGATATTGCACGGTTATTTTTAGAATATCTAAAAACCGATATACTTTGTGACTTCATCTAATGAATGTCATGATATTGTTAAAAGTTTATATTTATGAACGATTATTTGAAAAAAAAATCTTCAAACACATAAGATGAACACAAAAAACATAAAACATTATATTTGACATAACAACTAATATGTTGTTTTTGTCAAAGAGACAATATGATATCTATAAAATTCCAACAAAATTACATGATCAAAAAAGATGATTGTATAATGCAGTGACGATTTTGATACAAATATGGTCAGTAATTAATAATATAACAATTAATTTATAGCCTTTGTATGAGGTCAATACAGGATATATCGACCTAAAGAAGTATATAGACATCGGACTTCGTGCTCAGTCAATATACTTTTTCAGGTCAATATATCCTTTTCTCTAATTCTTCGTCAATTTATCCCTTGCTGCACCCATTGTATAAAAAAATTTAATCAACGTGTGGTTCCTTTGATCTCAGTTCTTCATTGGTTAAAATCCGATTATGACGTCGAATTTTCCTGCTTCCCTCTGAATTTCCTATTGTGACGGCATGAAAAAAGGCGACCATGCCTGATGACGTCACATAGAAAGAACACATCTTTTTGCAGATCATTCAAAAATAAGGAATAAGTTTGCCTGCATGTTGTTTGAAAATCATTAGAGAAACAGATTCCACCACCAAATCTCGTGTAATACGATATTTATCCACTCTCGACAGTTAAATTTTAAATATTTAAAACGCTCGGCGAGCCTCGCGTTTTAAATTTGAAAATTTAACTGTCTCGAGTGGATAAATATCGTATCACACTCGATGCAGTGGTAGAATCTATATGTATCGACCTCATACAAAGGCTATAATTGTATAATATTATTAATTCATATATTCCAACTAATTTGATTCGTACAGGAATAGTCACATGTTAAACTATATTTTCGAAGGTAGATAGAAAACGGCGGATAGCAAAAGTGATATTGCACGGTTATTTTTAGAATTTCTAAAAACCGATATACTTTGTGACTTCATGTAATGAATTTAATGATATTGTTAAAAGTTTTTAAAATGTGTATATTTATGATCGATTATTTGAAAAAAAAATCTTCAAATACATAAGATGTACACAAAAAACATAAAAAATTATTGAAATAACTCTAATATATTGTTATTGTCAAAGAGACAATATGATATCGAAAAAAGAGAATATATTGCACAGACGATTTTGATACAAATATGGTCAGAAATTAATAATATAACAATAATAGCCTTTGTATGAGGTCAATACAGGATATATCGACCAAAAGAAGTATATTGACCTCGGACTTCGTCCTCAGTCAATATACTTCTTTCTACATCACAATAAAATAAGTTAAACTGCAGGTTTATGCATGTGGGAAATCAATAGAAGGTTATGAATATTGATAGTTATATTGTTTTTATCAATATATATGTATTGTTATACGGGTATAAACAGTAACGGTCCTACATTATGTCGATACTTTTATTTAGGCATCGCACAAGGTCATGTTTTTCTTACATAAATAAAAAGATGTGATATGATTGCTATTGAGACAACAGTTACTCTCCATCAGAGACCAAATGACATAGAATTAAGTTTATTGAAATAATGCACAATTATATACCCCAATGGGGTTGATGGGATACATGAAAACAAAATAACACATTACATAATACATCACAAAAATAATAAAAGGACATGAATTCATATATGTACATGTCATGCAGTTGTTGAATCCACTCTCCTCGGTGACCAGGACTTTTTGATAAATGGATAGGTGAAAGTGTGACCTTCAACAATGAGTAAATCACATTCCGCTCAGCAAAAGGCCCCGAAATGACAAATGTAAAACAATTCAAAGAAGAAAACCGATGTAATGGTCTGGTTTATGTACAAACAATAAATGAAAAACGAATATGATATACAGCAACAAACAACAACCAGAGATCCGCAGAATTATGCCATTCCAAGGCGCAGAACAGTTTCATATTAAAGAAGTTTCATACCATCTGCTGTTAAACTCTGGAATGAATTAGATCCTTATGTAAAAAATGTTTTGTCGATTAACCAGTTCAAATCTTTACTTGATAAAATTAAAAAAAACAGAAATGCCTCCTAAGTATTTTGAAAACTTTGATTTGTCATGTTCAATATGAATAAAAAGAAATAAAAGGTGTTGGTCATGAGTCAGCAATCCGAAAACACAAAAGAGACATCTACAACAACAGACATCTACAACAACAGACATCTACAACAATAGACATCTACAACAATAGACATCTACAACAACAAACATCTACAACAATAGACATCTACAACAATAGACATCTACAACAACATACATCTACAACAACAAACATCTACAACAACAGACATCTACAAACATCTACAACAATAGACATCTTCAACAACAGACATCTACAACAATAGACATCTACAACAACAGACATCTACAACAACAAACATCTACAACAACATACATCTACAACAACAAACATCTACAACAACAGACATCTACAAACATCTACAACAATAGACATCTACAACAATAGACATCTACAACAACAAACATCTACAACAATAGACATCTACAACAATAGACATCTACAACAACATACATCTACAACAACAAACATCTACAACAACAGACATCTACAAACATCTACAACAATAGACATCTTCAACAACAGACATCTACAACAATAGACATCTACAACAACAGACATCTACAACAACAAACATCTACAACAACAGACAACTACAACAACAGACATCTACAACAATAGACATCTACAACAA